TTTTTTTTTTTTTTTTTTTTTTTTTTTTTATTACTCTTGAACTTCATCACAGAGGTGAGCATTCCAAAGATTTGGGAGGCTGGCAATACAGATGCCTTAATCCCACAAAAAAAATGTGAGTGGTGGCTGAATGTTTCCAAAGAACAAGCAGATTTCTGCTCAGGCTCTATGGGATCAGGCCTTCACATTGAACCCTCAACCCTCTCAAGCCCCAGCGCTCACCTGTGTAATCTGTAATGGCTGAGATAGAGGGATCTGTGTCATCGGCGTCGCAGCAGAGGCCGAGATGGTGGCGCCTGCAGCGCTGTGCTGCTGACTGGCTGAATGCTGCACTGCAGCCGCCAGCAACTGTGCCTGCGCCTGTTGTAGTAATAACTGCTGCTGGGCTGGCGTCAAGGTGAGCTAAAAACAATTAGAACAAACAACCATTAATAGTGAGAAAAGCTGTTCCAGTTACAAACTACCAGCTATTTATCCACTAATGACTTTGGCCAACCCTACATAAGGACAGCTGCCTACTCAACATATTATAGGCTTCTACCTACAGCACGTGTGACATGGCAGAAGCATCTGAACTTGGATTGGGACCTGGAGAACCACGCTAGCTTCTCCACAGCTCTACTTCAAGATTCATGCAAAAAGTAATTAACTAGCAAGCCAAAAGGGGAAAAAATAAGCACTGACAGGATTTGAAAGGAAATTTACACCCAACAGAACAGCAAGTGATTAGCCAGATGAATGAAAAGCAGGAATGCTGGCCATGGCTACTGAACAAACTGATAACACCCCAGCTGCCACACATTAGCATGAATCCCTGCCATATTCCATCATTTCCATTATGCCCCAAGATATAAGTAAAGAACATGAGCTCCATTTGTTTCTCTCCAAGTCTCCCCATCTGCTTTTTAAAAAAAAAAATAGAATAGAGTTGGCAAGTTTACATCTCTTCCCTTTTCCAAACACATATTATCTCTATGAAACAGGTGGTGACAGTCTCTCCTTTACATGTAAATGAATCAAGATGTCCACATTTACTGCAATCCCCAGCTACACAGATCTGGAATCCTGAATGTCTCACTACTGCAGACATTCGTTAGGCAAAACAAAAACAGCTTGTTCTCTTTCACCATATATGTTTTTGTTGTTGTTAAAAAGAAACATTTAAAAATGGCAAAAATAAAAATTATACTAAATTAACACAACTTTTTAAATTTGGATGCCAATTTGCACAAGTAGTCTTTGTATCTTTGATTACAATTAGCAGTGAAACCCTCAGAGCATCTCAAATGTGCAGGTAACGGCACCCAACACTTTAAAATCAAAGATCTAATGCAATGACAGAATAACCCCTTAATCCTTCATTCATGCCTTCAACTGCAGACCTGATGAAATGGAAATAAACTCTCTAAGCAAGCCATTCCACTCCTAAATTTGGATTAAATCCATTTATGACGTTATTGGGATTGTAATAATTTAGCAAGCACCATAGACCTTTAATAACCAACACCTTCCATTTTCTTTGTCCCTCCAAACATTGCCATAATAAAGAAATAGAAATCTCAAAATTGATAGGTTAAGGCTGGAGGGGATTGGTGCAGATGTTCAGAGACTACTTTTTACTGTGGCTTTTGCAAAACAACTGAAAAGTAGGGGATCTAAAATTGTAATTGTTGCCATCACTTTCTGCTTATCAGATATACTCCTTTTTTGACCAAGGGTTTCAGTCTCAGGCTCATATCTGATGATGCAATTAGGTCAAAATACTAAATTTTTTATATCCACTTCTACAAAACTACCTAATGTCATGGTTTTGATTTCGTTGCAGGATCAAGAACTATATTATTCTGATACAAATAATCTGCAGGAAACCCACAAAAATATTACTTACAGAGCTGGCTTTTGGGAACAAAACATTCTCTGGTTCCCCCTGCCACCCAAGTTTTCCCCAGGTCAAAGTCCCTGTTTTAATAAAGTGATAGTAACCCCAGATAGTCACTCTACTGCTGTTTGGTTTGGTGTGCAATTCTAATTGGATGGTGAACAACAGCAGTGTTGCTGGACAGGAGGCTTACTACAATTCCCTCGGGTAAATCTTACCCCGGTGATCTGTCCTCCGGCCAGCATGAGCTGGGTCTGGGGTATGGCCGCCTGCACTGAAGGCTGCTGGGAAGGCTGGCTTGGCTGCTGGGAGTCCCCAGATTCTTCATTAGATTTAGACTAGGAAAAAAATATATATAACTCTTTATAGTGTAAAACAGATGTTAATGTGTAAACTGCGATCTCTATTCTGTGCATTGCATATCTTTCATCTGCATTCAAAAAGCCCTTGGGTTTATTTTAAGAGTGGGTTAAGCAACAGCTCTGTGTGCCCACCATGTCAGCTATCATTGCTGTAACATGTCTGTAGCTAATGCAGTTTAGGGCTCAAACAAAACAAAAAGACACCCAGTCTTTTGTACCTCAACATGAAATATTTTCAAATCTCATTTTATTTGCTGCAGCACCACTGAAGCTGAGGTTACTTTTACTATAAAGAGGAAAAAAATTGCCTACCACAAAGCACTTAAAATTATTCACAGTCTAAAATCCCAAACAATGGAACAAGGGAGGGGAGGGAGTATTTTTTCTTTTTATATAACTGCATCTAGTACCTCAAGTCCTCTGGACAGCCAGCATTGTGAGGACTGCTTTGAGATGCCCTCACATTTAATTATGTCCAGCAAAAATCCCAATGCATATACTGTGTTTAAATAATAGAAATATACCATTTATGTAGTGAAGCATGATTTTACTTAAAACAGTTTTTATTTCTTTTTAAACAGAGAAGAAAATACTGCAGACATGAAGGAGGAAATGCAGGAGAGTGCATGAAAAGGAAAGAGAGGGTGTTATGGTAATTAAAACTGGTTATGCAGAGCATTAAAATTCTGCATAGATTTGCATATTTTCCACCACCTGTTTTGGGGACTGCAGAGCAGGCTAATTAACATAAAGGCTCTGATTAATTCTGCCAGTCATTGAGAGATAATTACAGTGCAGGACTGTAAACATTCGGAGCTAGAGATACAGCCTGTTTGCCAACATCTCTCTTAGGGATGGAAGTTTACCATGGCAACCAAGGCAATTTTCTGCCTCCTTTCTCTTAGAAAGGAAGGTCAGTATATCTCCTTTTTTCCAAATTGTTATCATGTCTAACTGGGCCTACATTCTGCTAGGTTTCATAAAATGCACTGTCCAAGTTCTTTAGTTCCTAGTAATACTGAAACCAGTTTTCAGTAAAACCAATCTCGCTACCCCCTTAATACTGTATTGAAAGGAAGTGTCCCTTTGATTTAAATACTCTGAAGATTATCATAAAAAGTTTGAATACTTTGCTATACCATAGAGATCAATGAACAACAAGTAACCCAGCCTATTTTCAAATTACTGAGCATAATTGATTAGATTCTGTCAGGTATGCAAGTGATCCACACCAGCCTCATTAGCAATCAGTGCTACATTAATAATCCTGTGTTCAGCTTCCACAAATAAAAAGATATCTTGTAAAGTAATCCACATTTAAAAAGCAGGCCGAAAATGGAAGAACGTGTCAGATTAGAGAGTTCTGTACTGAACATGAGACCTGTAACAAATCACCCACTAATTTGATACAATTATTAGCACCAGTATATTGCACAACTCCCATTGCTGACTGCTGACTAGCACCTATCTCTGCTCTGGAGCTACTACCACCCTTCACCTTTATGGACCCAACCATGTAATTAGAATATGACAGATCATGGCCTGAAAGCTACTTCTGATGGAAAAGACACTTGTTTGGGCAGAAGATGGAAGGAGGAAGAAGCAGTCCTTACCTGTACATTTAAGGACTGAGCAGCAGCCTGTAAACTTGTTCCAGCGAGCTGGACCTACAACACAGTGCAAAGAATGGAGGTGAAGTAAAGTAATGGTTATATCAAGATCCGAAAGATAAAACACCAATCCCCTCAAGCTTTCTGCCGTAACTTGATGCAGGGGTAGTGCTCAGAATGATTAGAGACAAGTCCATATGGACCTTGCACAGTGTTATCTGTCCACCTCTCGCTGAAGACATCCTGTTGGTCTAGGACAGTGATCCTCAACCAGGGTGATGTGGGATCCTGGGGTGCCATGAGATCCTTTCTAGGGAGTTATGCAAATATCTCACAATTCACAGGATAAATCCAGAGATTTTAAATAGAAATCCATAGAGCCAAAAGCACTCCGACCTTTTGTGGCCTTTGAGTGCTTTGGAACAGAAAAATTGTGGAATCATTTTCCCATAGTCAAAAAATTAGTGAAAGCTATGAGCTGGCATTTTCTGTGGGTTGCCTCGAGACTAAGAAAAGTGAGAATCACTGGTCTAGGATCTGTGGGTGTTAACCTAAAATTAATCAGAAGTGGAACACTTTTGGGTGGGTGGGATCTCTATCATCATTTCCATGAGCCAGTTTCCTAGGTTTAAACAAACAAAAACCAAAAGACAAAACAAAATTCTATTCCCCATCTTCTTAATGACAGCCCAGGTGCTACCTCAAAACGCACAGCATTCACCACCTTCCTTGTGCAATACAATGGGAACTACACACACCGGGAAGGGCGGGGGGAAACACACCTCACAAAGCATGAATACTGTCCCCATACATCAATTCATTCAAGCACTCTCAACCATCTTCAGTCACTACAAGAGGGAAGTGCATACAAAAGGAGACTGTACCTTTAGTTAGGCTGCATCGACTCAAGTGTACTAATAAATTCAAACTGAATTTTTTTGATTGATAACCTGATTCAAAGGTGTTGCAAAGAAACTACTGAAATTGAAAAGCAGTATGGCAGAATTTGGGATTCTTAAGGAGCATTAGAGAGAAAAATGCTACAAAACAGGAGCTTCTCTTCTGTTATTAATATGTATATGCACATGCTGCAGCTAGCTTCAACAAACCTCTTCATGTTACCATCATTGGCATCATTGTTACTACAGTGGCAATCTTATGTAATTGCCTATTCTTTCAAAGGTAAGGGCTATAGCTTGTAGGCGTTCCATCACTGCCCATGCTTCGGGGGGAAATGCATATATATTCCCCCCAAGCTATATACATATACACACACACACACACACATATTACTGCTTTACTGGGAACCAGGAAACACACGAGGACAAGAAAAACAAATCATCAAATGTGGCACGATGCCTTTATGAAAAGGAATATACACCCTCACGTGGAGATGCATTACTTAAGGGAGCCCCAACATATCTATAACTATGCTTGCTTTCCCCTTGCCCTACAGGGGTTGGAGGTTTTTTTCTCAAAGCCAAGCACAGGAATTGAATAACTTATTTCACCAAGTGGAAACTCTAACTTCATAGCTGTGTTTTGAAACACTTCTTACCTTTCTGGGTAAGATTCGACAAGCTTTTTTACCACCAAGACAACATCCTCAAAAGAGCTCCTCTTTTTCACATACTGCTGAAACTGAATTGAGTTTGCCAGAATTTGTGTTCTGAGATTTTTATATTAATTAATAAAGGAGAATAGTTCACTGTCAAAATGAAAAATGGATGTCCTAGAATACAGCTCAGGAATAATTATTAAAAGGGTGACCTTACAGATATAGGCATTGCATGCAGTCAATACACACCTGAAAAGACCTTTAAACCAAATACTGGGCCCTCCTTTCCTATCAGACACATTTTCTGATTAGAATATTACATTACATTGTTTCCGAATGGTGCCTCAGTTTTTACTGAGACTGATTTTGGTTTTTATCACTAAGAACTGCCACACTGGAATAGAACAACAGCTCATCTATTGTGAGAGCAAGTCTAACAATGGCCACCAGCACAGGAACCACAAGGCTTAGAAACTTCTTGAAGGTAGAGATTCAAGAGGTACAGCAATGTTCATCAGATAAGAAATTAAGGTCCTAGCAACTTTTTAAATAGTTTGCAGGGCAAAGGGATAAAAATATTGTACTGATCATAACTACCATCTAGGGTAAAACCACATCACAATGCATACTAGAACAAACTTGGTTGAAAATGCAAAGCCTTTCAGAGCTCTTCTAGCTGTGCATCTACCATGAAGACAGTCATATTGCCACAAACATGCCTAGGGGTGTGATAAAGGTGTTTTAAAGCAGCATATTAGTTCAACATACTCAGTGTCACTCCACATTTCCATGTAAACCTCATCCACTGGAAATTTATAATTACATGACCAAAAATGTTGAATGCTCAGTACAATAAAATGGCACCTCTAGGCTCTTAAAAAGTAAGTATAAAAGCCTTAGTACCTCAATTATATCACAATAACTGTGTAACCTCAGACCTTGAACACTCAGGGTCAGCCAATTAGCAACAGTATTTTTAAGTTTAAACTTGGTGCCAAGAAAGAGAAAGAAATTAGGACATTTGTTTTCATACCTCAAGTGTGATCAGACAGACACAAAGCAGTCCCCCCTCCTACTTGCCTTCACCCAGGGATGCCCCATTTCCCTTCAGTCTGCATCTGAAGTTCAGCTTTGATTCTCTAAGTATATCAGCAGTAGAGAGGAGGCAAGGAGAAGCCTGACTATCCTACAGCAGAACATCCCCAAGAAATAAATCTCTCTAAAACAAAAAATCATTCCCACAATGTATAGAGATAGGTATGGTTGCCTAATGTCATCATTTCATGTTTTTAGTTGGCATGTAGGAAGTTGCATCAGGATTGGGAGCCACCAGCAGTGCAACAAGGCACAGGGTGATCGGGCCCCAAGCCCCAAGGGCCAACTTAGAAGTGCAAGAATGGCAGCCATTGCTATTCCAGGTGGCCTAGCCCTTGCCAACCCTGCTGCCCATTACACAGACGCTAGCAGCTATGTCTCTGGAATCCATCACTGCTCTCTCTACCACTCATCTCTTCTTACCTAGATAGTGAGAAATTTCAGGGCCATGTTGAGGCAGCTTCTAAGTATAATTCTTTAAAAGAAGACCAAACCGGGCCTTGTCTTTAGGATAAAGAACAGACCATTGGGGTTTACTGTTCACATCTTCCTTGGAAAAAATTTCCTTCATGTCGCAAGCATGTAGAGTATTTACTTCTCACTTCCTCCCAAGAATATTGAAAGAACTATTAAAGTCAGACAGTATTTTAATTATGTCCTGGCACCCTGTGACAGCAACTGTTTTCCAGGAGTAGCCAAAATATTGAATATGTGGGCTACAGATCAGTACAATGAGGTGACTGCCCCCCACAATTAGAAAGGAGAAAAAAAAATCACATATTGTGCTTGGGCTGAATGACTCAAACCCCCTCAGAATCCCCTTTTTATTCATTGATACAAATCATGGCAATGATGAAGAAAAGAAAAGCAAGTCCATTTTCCATCTGTCTCCTCCCCAAATCTCCTCCAAGTTAGTAGGCGACAGTCTTACCTGATGAAGGTGTCCAAGGAAGGCCTGGGCCTGGGCTGTCGAGATTGCCCCTCCAACAGGCACAGGCTGCTTCTGAAAGTCCAGGCCATTTGTTTGCGTGCCTGAAGACGCAGAAAAAGATATGACAAACTATTCAGTAGGACTTTTGAAAACCAGCCTTCAGAGACCATTTGATTTACAGGTCCTTTGGTCTCCTACTTTTCTGGACTAGAATTTAGTGACATGCCCTCCAATACCAAGAGCAGCTCAAGTCTTTCCTGAAATAACAGAGGTACCATCATTACCAGACATTGATTTACAGCATGTGCCAGCTGAACCAGAGCAGCTTCACAGCCCTTCAACACCATATTCTATGCAATACTGTTCTAGTAATCTTGTGCACATCACAGCACTCTTGGTGCTGACAATGGTCTGATACCAGACACACTGCATATTGCTAGGGTTCAGCTCTTACTTCAGTTTTACATGTATGCTTTGCCTAATAGCTTGCTCTTGAGAACAGTTCTTAAATTCAGACTTCTGGGAAGAACAAGGTTTACAGTAGAAAGAATGTTTGCTTTCTTACCAAGAGGACAGAGCAAAAGAGAAGGAAGTCGCAGGTAAATGCAAAAGCTATGTATGAAAGAGAAGAGGGGTCATAATTCAGCTTTCTTTTAGATAACTACATTCCAGGGATTGTACAGAGATAGAACAAGAGCAATTATTTTTCATCTACTTTGAAATAATCCAGGTATAATGGTTTCTCTGCAATTTCTCTTTTCCCCAGAAGGCCTGGAAAAAAATGAAAAACCCAAGAGCTAACCCTGATGCATCCCAGTGAGAGAAATGAGATGATCAGAAACTGTTCCCCACAACAGATCAAAGATTTCTCTTTTGCCAAGAACTATATAGTCTTAGAAAACATTTCTTTATGCTGAAGAAAGATGTCAGAATTAACATTACCAGCTACTGTTTTGGTGCACTGATAATGCTGTTGCTATCTTTATTGCAACTTTGCCTTTGAATTTGTTAGTCACTGTGGCTAGGGACAAACATTACACGTAAACCAGATTAAGTGATCATCAGAAACTAGTTTAAACCTGTAACAGAACAGATGTTCAATGCACATAAACCAGTTTGAAAATGGCTGAAACTGGTTTGAGATAAACGCGGTTAAATGTAGTATCAGACTTAACTAACCTGGGGGCAAACTGGTTTATGCAATGTCTGTCCCAGCCCCCTTGCTGGTTTAAGTTAAATCAGACACCTCCAGCATCCTGGCATGCTCTCTGGGCTGGGATCTCTGCTCCACAAAAGAGCTTCTCCCCTCTGCTCCCTGGCTGCAGCTCCAGCAGAGACTTGCAGGCTGCTCCCTCCCCTCCCCCTCATCACCGTCCCAAGCAGGAATTCCCCCCTCCCCTCTCTGCTTTGCTGAGAGGTGTCTGTGTATTAGCTAGCAGATCACATGCTGGCTCTGGTCCATGCTGTGATAGGCAGAATCAACAGCTGGTAATGTCCCTCCATTGTTTACCTAATGGGATGATAAACCCCACGTTAAGGGTGATAAACACTGTTATCAATTCTTTGCTCAGCTAGTCAGAGCGTCCTGCCAGGGCCTGGCCATGCCCCCTCCTCAGCTCAGTACTGTACAAGAGAAGGGAGGGCTGCTCTAGCACCCCGCAGCTTCTAGCCTGAGTCAGTACAGACATGTGCCTACATTTCTGGAATGAAAAGGGAATTTCTATCCATCTCCAAATCAGCTTAAGCTTTGTAGGTTAGACTAACCTGCAAAGATTGAATCAATTCAGGCTCAGGCTTTTTGAATGTCTGTCCCTAGTCTATGACATGAGAAATTTCTAGGTTTGAAAATAGCATTGTATTATCTGCTCTAGAAATTCTATCTAGCTAATATAAAAAGAAAAAGCATGCTTAGATTTTGATACAAGTTCCGTTAATCAGTATACCACTTCACATTATAATTGCTGTCAGGCTTTGCCCAACTGCAGTGGGCAGGCTGTACATGACTTTCCCTTCTATACTTTACCATGTAACCAGATTAAAAATTACAGGTATTGAATCTGCATTATCTAAGGAGTGAAAGAGGTACTGATGTTATACATGGGGACTTTGCCACCCCTTTTAAAACATAGGAAAGCAAACGTGTTTTATTTTCAGGAAAATCAAGGAGGCATTTATTTGATTGTTGGCCTATATGATCATGTGTTTTATACTGATGTTTTACCTTTATTAAATTATGATTGTACGCAGACCCTTTTAGTCACAAGATGAAAAGTTTTTCAGTACCCTCCTACAATACATCTAACAGGTTTCTTCTGTATGAAGTGATTTTAGGTTAATTTTCATTTCAATATTAATACTTTGGATAAGGTTGAGATTTAACATTTACCTTGATCTATATCCCAGAAAGCTGAAAACAAATTGGCCTACTACTCCCAGAAGTCCTTTCCTGCATTTATCAAACCACCATAAGCAACAACTTGAATGTAATATGCAATCCCAGAGAAAGCTATAGTAGACATTAAAGATGTAGACAATTATTATATGAATCTGTTTTACTGCACTTCATCAAAAGGTCTAAAAACAGCTTTAAAAAGTTGATCATTTTTTCATGGCTAGGAAAAAAAAAATAAGTACAGAAAGTAGTTCAAAATCACATAATAATTTGTGTTATAGAATCAAGTCTTCTGATTTGTATTCTGCTCTAGCCAACAGATGTGTAATCTCTCTACTTTGCATCTCTCTTCTCATACTAAACATAGATTAACATCAAATAATACTGAAAAACTGCAGTTGCAAGAAAATTACTGCAGTTGCAAGAAAATTGTGCATTTTGCAATGTTGTTCTTTTCTCTAGATTCAAACACTGCCAAAACGACGCTTTTTTAAAGCAACCTACTACATAGTAACCATGAAAGACCTGCATCAGAAAAATAATTTTCCAGCCAAATTGAAGCTATAAAAAGGTAAAAATAATACTATTACCAATTTAGAAAGCCCCGTGTATTATGTCCAGGTCTCCAGACATTGAAAAAATATTAATCCTTCTCAAATCATTTATTTCAAATCAGATTAAGTTTATAAACTATGGGCCTGATCCAAAGCAGTAGCTTTTAGATTAGCTTTTGGTCACTGGCTTGAATTAACTTGGGGTAGCTATGGAAAAAGATGTAGTTAAAAGGTACTAACATTAAGCATTACAGTCAAAATGAGCAACATGTTTTTAATGTGCACCTGGTCTCACTGCCCCCACCGTACAAACAGAATCTTTCCCTCTAAGCTCCTTTACAGACAGAAAGCTGTTGTAGGCTGGAGTCTGGCCTGCTTTTTAATTTTTTGGCATTTGTACCGTTTCATGTCCAGGGAGGACAGTTCCCAAAAAACTTGCGCATTCAATTAAAAACTATGTGCAACTGACCTGTAAACCTTCAAATCTCTGTCTTACAAATCTAACAAGGTGTGCAGGTGTTTGGCTTTGTTTTCCCCACCTTTTATTTTTATCTAAGCAAATTCAAAATCTTGTGTGCGCACTTTAGACAGTATGCTTTCTTGACTAACTCAGGGGGGTGCCTCTCCCTCCAGCCTAGATGATGGGACACGATTTCCAAGTTTCAATGCTTATGACAGCAGGGAGCAATCACCTGGTCTAAAAACAACCCAGCTGCACTCCCACAGAAAAGCATACAGGCCTGTAGCCATCTTTGTGCATGGTAGGTAGAGGCCTCCACTGATGTAGTGTGGTTCAACTGTCTCAGTTTGCTGCACTAAAGCCAGCAGTCCTGTAAGGCCAGAACTCTGTAGAAAAGTGGAAAGCGAGTAGGAGGGAACACTCCTGACAAATGGCTACTGTAATTAAACATTTTTTCTTCAAGGTATGCTCAATGTAGTGCCCCTTTTGCAAATCTAGCTAGCAATACACCCCCAGGAAAATGAGATGAGGCTTTCTAATTAACTCCTTCACAAGGAAAGCAGAAAACCCAGATGCTTTGAAAGACAACTGCTATGTACATGCTGCTGCAAGCTGCTACAGATTTTTAGGATGGAAATATTACAGAGCCATAGCATTACAGCTGTCTTGAGCCAAGGTAGAGTGAACCCAGCAGTTATTCCTAATGTCCACAGAAGGAGAGGGTTTCTCACGGGGATGTCCAAAAGTTCATGAAGGAGTTGGGGAGATGGGGCTGTGATTGGCAGGCATTTTGATTGGCAAAGGAGCATAGGCAGCATGAAGGGACCAAAGAGATCCATTCCTGATCGCTATATAAACTAAACATAGAAACCTGTGCTGCGTAAAGAGAAAGCAAGAGACTTGGCTCAGACAAACAACTATCATGCCTCTCGCGCCCAGATCCACAAGTGTGGGTGAGGGAACCTCTTGGTGACTCCATACCAGCCTGGTTTTCAGATGCTAACATGCCAGTGAACTAGGGATTGGGGCAAAGGCACACAATTCGAAGTGGCTACCTACCCCTTTCCACCATGCTCTTCCCTATATTCTCTTCCAATTTAAGCGGGTGGCCTATATTTTGAAGTAAAGTTTTAACAATCTGCTATGAATTCAGACGGCTTTCACCTTTTTGGATAATGATTACTTCCTGCACTACTACCACTGAATGTAGGCCATGCACAAATACAGACAGAAGTTGTACGGGTTAGTAGTTAAGTCACTTGACTGGACTTGGGACATCCAGATTCAGTTACCACCTCTGCCACAGCAGTTATTTACTTTCCCTTGTACCTCAGCTGCACACCTGTGAATGGATTCATACACTTTATTTCTCCCATTGTCCATCTTGTCTATTTAATGTCTAATTACCTGTTCCAAGCCACTACTGTTCTCTTCTTATGTACAGGTGCATTACCTAATATAACGGAGGATTAATATAGCTTTTTTGTGGTTATTTAAAAGAAACCCTAACCACTACCGTCCATGTAACAATTTGAGAAAAAGAGATCCAATATTATGCCATCCACCCATATTTTTCACATTTAACTTTCATATATGGGCCAGACTCCACCCCATTATGATGAGCTTAACATTCATTTTACTGAATACAGTACAAATATAGAGGGCAGACTTAAATATTCCATTCACAAAAATCTT